CAGGGACGGCGGGGACGGCACCCGCTTCTCCCAGCCCAGCTCCCGGGCACCTGCCCACTGTGTTCCACTATTGAACGGCGGTAGCTGGGCCTCAGGGCTCTGCCCCCTCACAGTTGTTGAAGGTGCAGGTGACCTGATATGTGTTGGGGGTAGGGTGGGCCTGGGCTGGGGCAGATGTCTGCAGGGCACCGCAGGGTCTTGGGATAACCAGAGGGTGTGAGGCTCGACCTGGCTTGTTCAGAGCAGCCACTTGCTGCACGAGGGCTCCCGTCACTCAAAGTGGTGTCTGTCTCCTGCGCAGACAGGGCAGAAACAACTTGATTGGTACTTGACCTGACTGCAGGGCCCCCCAAACTCGCCTGGAGCCCTCAACATGTGGGGCTGGTCGTGGGGCCCCTGAAGGCTGTCAGATTCCTGTCCCCATGCAAAAGCTGACTGAGGGCCAATGCCAGGTGAGGCGTCTGGGCAGCTAAAAATGTTCCTGTGCGTCAGGCAGAGCCCAGCTCTCAGCGATGACCTCATGTCTCCACTTGCCAGGGTCAAGGTGCATCTGTGCGTTCAGGGCCCAGAGGGGCACTGACTCAGGACAGGCTCCCGCTGCACCTCCTGCTTCCCCCACCCCTACCCCAGCCCTTCCTGCCGTGCGAGGGAGTTGCTGTGTGCCCTTGGGGGAGTCACCTAACCTCTCTGTGCCTCAGCTTCTCCTCCACCAAAGGGTCCATGCAGGCCACCACGTGTTGTGTCAGCATGGGGCCTGGTTGGGCAGTGCTCGGCAAACCAGGCCCAGAGCTGCTCCTGTTCAGGTCTGGTTCAGGTCACATAGCATGTGCTGTCCTCACTGCGGCCACCAGCGCCCGTCCAACCAGGGCTGCCTCCGGCCGGCTCTCAGGGGAGCTGGGACTTGAGAGCCCTGTTTCTATTTTTGTTGGCCGGCACAGGTGTGAGCTCAGCGGCTGTGGAATTCCCACTGGGGTGACTGTCTCACATGCTCTGCGCCCACCCACTGGATGGAGAGGCATTGGCCACCCCCAACACGGCCTCCCGGGGCTGGGTCTCCCCTGTGGCTCCAGCCTCTGGGGGGGCCCCCACCCTTTCCCGGGCAGAGGTGAAGCTGCTCTCCTTGTGTCCACATGTGGACCTGATGTGTGGATCCAGCCTGTGAGGAATTGTGAGCGGGCACCCTGGGGGCCCCAAAGGGGAGGTGCCAGGTGCATCTTGGGGTTCTCAGTCTCTGGAGCACCAGCCTGACCCATGGCTGCACGGAACCTCCCTTGAATCAAGCAATCCCAGCTGTCACCTGTAAGTGTGCAGGCTGGTCCAGCTGCAGATGGGGGAGGGGAGTGCACTCCGCAGAGGAAGCTTTTATCCTGACTTTCCTGCTGGGGACTGGGCTTCGTGTCCTCGCCTTCACTCTGATTCCAGCAGAGACACAAAGAGGCTGCAGGCACCGTTCCGGCTCCTCCTGGAGCATCTGATGCTGTGACGTGGGCCCAGTCACACATGACCATTTCCTGCTTTTGTGCCTGGCCTTCTGTGCCCATGTGTGTGAAGAAAGGAGGTGACAAAGGGCCTGGGACGGGAGCCAAGATGGGACACCAGCAGGTGGCAGTGGGGAGGTTGGGGACACAGGGTGGTGATTTTGGGGGTTGGGGACACTGTGACAAGTAGCTACAGGGAGATTGGGGACACAGTAGGAGGTGGCAGTGGGGAGGTTGGGGACGCAGTGGGAGGTGACAGTTGTGTAGGACGGCTCCATGGTGTCTCCACATGCTCCGTGGCCTGGCCTAGGCATGGAGTCCAACTTGGGAGGGGGTCTGGGCTGCCCCCTGACCCGGCTCCCTGGGCTCCTTAGGGGCTCTTTGTTTTTGGAGGGAGGGTGTTGAGTCTCCTGTTGAATTCGGTGTCTCTGCGGGGCCATGCCTTAGCTCCTAATTCTGTGAGATGTAACCTGACTCATTTGTGACACCTTGGTGTCCTCCCTATCTCCACGCTTTTTGCAGAAATCGTAATTCCCTGTGGGAGCTGCTTGAGATGCTTGCTCTGTGCGTGTGGGCTTTCCTTTGAGATGGAAGTGACCTGAGCTGAGGGAGGCGGTGAGCAGCCTCACTCTGGTGCGCCGGCGCCTCTGCAGCTCATCGGGCTCCGGTCTTCTGGGCGCAGCAGCCTCCTGGGCACTGGAGCAGGCGGAGGGCGGGGAGGAGGCCAGAGCTGAAGGATGAATGACGTGACCTGTTTTGCTTTTCCACAAAGGCCGGCCTGGACTCGAATGCATCGAAGTCCAGATGGTGCGCTGGGCAGGAGGCTCCAACAGAAGCCCCTCTTGCTGGTCTGGGGAGAGGGAAGAGGGTGTGACGAAATGCCTCACGTCTGTTGTCGATGCTCTGGCCTTGCTCACCCGTCGGAGCCCCCAGGCGAGCCCCCGTGCCAGCTCTAGTCTTCGCTGCTGGCGGCAGCAGCAGGGCGGCCGGGCAGGCCCCTGGCTCTGAGGGGTGCGTCCTCCTCTCTCACCAGCGGAAGGATGAACCCGAAGGGGTGGGGAGCCCGGTGCTTTTCCCCTGTATCCTCCCTCCACTTGGCCATGGAGGCAGATCCAGCCACATGCACAGCACGGACACTGAAGCCCTGGCTTTCCAGCCAGAGGACAAGGGAGAGGTGGGCAGGTCCCTGAGAGCACAGAGTTTCAGGGGACTGAAGAGAGGGCATGTGTGAGGAAAGCGGCCTCTAAGTTGTATATGAAGTGCTGGGCTCACCCCCAAGCTCGGTGTGCATGGATGAGGCGCTGACTGCATCCCAGAGGCTTGGAGAGGGGTGCTGTGGGGTAGACCACCACCCAGTCCTGGGCCGGCCACACAGCACTGCCCATGCATGCAGGTCCAAAACTGAGCTGAACTGAACCATGTCCACTGAAAGCCAGCCAGAACCTGCAGCTGGAACTTAACCATGTCAGTTCCTGGCGAGAACAAACGACGTTCTCCATAGAGCTGAAGCAAGACGGATCTCCTTACATAAGGTTAAAAGTGTCCAGGATACAAAGCAAAATTATTCAACATGAACAGTTAGGAAAATCTCAACAACTCTCAAAAGAAAAGACAACCAATGGACAACGAAGACAACGAAGACAACCAGCCAAGGTGACACGCGCACTGGAATTACCAGACTGTAAAGTCACTGGTGTAACTGTGCTCTGAGGAGGAAGAGCAGACACTCTTGAAACCGATGCGAAACTCAGCAAAGGAATAGAAGCTGCAAGAGAAATCAACAAGAAAATTTTAAATTGAAAAATATAATAGCTAAATAAAAAACACACTTCGTGAGTTCAGGAGTGGAGTGGAGACGACAGAGGAAGAGTCAGTGAACTTGAAGACAGATGGATAAAAATCATCCACTTTGAACAATAGGAAAAAATCTGAAGGAAAAAAAAGAGGAATAGACTCAGACAGCACCAAGAGGTCTAGCGTCACCTCATCTGAGGCCACAGGGCAGGATATGGTGCAGGAAATGTAGCTGAAGAAATAATGGCTGAAAACTTCCAGCATCTGAGGCAAGATAAACACACAGATTTAAGCAGCTCAGCAAGTCCCACACATGCATCACATCGCAATCAAGCTGCCAGAAACCGAAGTCAGATGTTGGAAGCAGCCAGAGAGAAAGGGCTGACTAGGATGACTTGGACTTTTAATGAGGAATTCGTCACCAGCTAATTAGAAACAAAAGATCTTCAAACGCTGCGTCAGCCAGCAAGACCAGCCAAGTACGCCGCCCTGGGCTGCCAGTCGGGGAGCCCGGCCTTCTGCGCCTCTCCTCCTCCCAGTAAGGACCCCGGGGGCGGGTGGAGGTCAGGGGAGGCGTCCACCTTCTGGCCTGGTTCTGCGTGGTCGGTGTGACCCTCCAGTGGGCACCCCTGCACTGACTGGGCAGAGGACACGGCGCCTTGCCCTGATTTTATGAAGGATGAGGGCTGAACTGGGGCTCAGAGACCTCCCAGCGCTGAGGCTCTGGAGTGGATGGGGCTCCTCCGGAAGCTCAGGTGCCCGCGGTGCCCGCGGCCCGTGCGGCTCCTTGACCCAGTGTCTGCGGCTCCGACCCGCAGGCTGTCCCCCTGGGAGGCCCCTCCTCCCTGCCCCAGACCGGTGGCCGCAAGAGGTCCGCCTGCTGGTGCAGCTGGGTCTGATTCACATTTTATGCAGGAAAACATGATGGTGCTAATGCTCATTACCTCGCAGGCCAAGCGTCAGATGCCTCGTTTGGGAAGGTGTGTGTGGACATGAGTGATTGGTGACCAGGGTCCCCCCTGTGCCACAGGGACCAAGCTGAGGCTAGGGGGGCAGCGGCACCAGTGTCTAGAAACAGACTCACGCTCAGGTTGTTCTGAGTAAGGGGCCTGGGCGGGGCGGGAGTTCCCAAGAGCAGCTGCTTCACTCCGCTTCGCCGGCCGCCCTGGTTTCCTCCTCAGCACCCCAGGGGCTGGAGCGGGGAGGGGGCCACCACCTGAGGGCCGAGGGCATGAGGAGGTGATGGTCGTCCCTGCGCTGCCTGAGGCCACCGCGTGTCTCCTGAGGGCACACACCTGGAGGGCCTGCAGCCAGCAAGGACAGAGTGTGTGTGAGGCCATGGTGCTCAGCCCCTGCCCCTTCCCTGCCTTGGAGAGCTGGGGCTCCTCCAGCTGAAGGGCCTTGCTGTCCCTGTGGCCATGCACGTGGTGGCCTCATGGCAGGGACAGGAGGGTGGGTCTGGCTGCCCTGACCACCTGGTGTGTCCCCTGACCCCTGGTTTACATCCCCGACCCCTGGTTTATGTCCTTGACCCCTGGTTTACGTCTTTGACCCCAGCATGTCCCCTGACCCCTGGTTTACATCCCTGACCCCTGGTTTATGTCCTCTGACCCCTGGTTTATGTCCTCTGACCCCTGGTTTACGTCCCTGACCCCTGCTTTATGTCTCTGACCCCTGGTTTATGTTTTTGACCTGGCATGTCGCTGACCCCCGCTTGTGTCTCTGTAGCATCAAGATGGTCCTCATGTGGACTAGTGGCGACACCTTCAAGACGGCGTACTTCCTGCTGAACGGGGCACCCCTGCAGTTCTCAGTGTGCGGCCTACTGCAGGTGCTGGTGGACCTGGCCATCCTGGGGCAGGCCTACGCGTTCGCCCGCCATCCCCCGAAGCCGGCCCCCCACACGGCGCACCCTGCCAGCGCCAAGGCCCTCTGAGGCAGCTGGGGAGGATGAGGACGTGGAACTGCTCGCTGCAGGCACCAGCCCAGCCACCTGTCCTCCCCGCGTGGGGCAGGCAGGCACCGCTGCCCCCTGAGATGGTGTCCTGGCTGTCGGGCTCGCGCTCAGCCTCTGGGCTCCCGGGGAGGCCGGTGGGGGCCCGGGCACTGATGTCTGTGCTTTCTCACCCCAGGACTGCGTGCGAGCGGGTTGCACCCCTGGGTGGTGCTGCCGTTGTTCTCAAGGTGATGAGAAAGCAAGTCTTCTCGCCCATGTCCATGCGAAGCAGCCCTGGCCCGGAGCCTGGAAGAGGCAGACCCGGGCTCTGCAGGACCAAGGGTGTTGGGAAAACTCGTGTCTCAGCCGCAGTGGCCTGGACGTGGCTGGTGGAGCTTAGAAGGCCTGCAGCCCGGGCCCAGGGATCCCTGACTCGGGCTAGACTTGGCGGGGGTGGGGTCGGAGTGAGAAGTGGTGCCCGGAGAAGCCTGCATGCGGTTCCTGCTGTCTCAGAATGGCCTGGGGGTGGGGCCCTGGTGCCCACGGGTGGCCGAGGGTCAGTCATGGCAGGGATGGGGTTTTGTGTGCACCTGGCCCACGTGGAGAAGTGCTGGAGTACGCTAAACGTTGTCACGTGTGCTCCTGTGTGTGTGGCCAGAGGTGGCCTTTCCAGGGTCACCTTCAGCGCAGCTGCCTCACAGGACTGGATCCCGGCTCAGCAGTGGGGCCCAGGGGCCTTGTTGCTACTCTGGGCTCCTCCTGCGAGATGCTGGTGTGGACCCCACTGGGGCGAGGGGCAAGCCCTCATCTGCCAGTGGGCCCCGGCCAGAGCGAGTGCTGGGGCGTTGGAACCAGGGCCTGGAGTTCCCCATGAGTCCTGGGGGTGTCGGGGGGACGCAGCAGCCCCTGTGGGCTCCTGGGAAGGCCGGGGGCCCAGGTCTGGGGCTGGGCAGACGCACTGGCCATCCCCGTCATTTTGGGAATCATGCACCTGCAGCACACAGCCTTAGACGTCTGCTTCTAGGACCAGGGGGGCAGTGAGGGAGTGTCCCTGTGCTGTGCGGGGTGTCCCTGCTTCTAATGTGGGTCCCCCCAACCCACACACACTCTGAGCTCTCAGGCCTGCACGGGGGCCCTGCCGCCGTCCTCCCGTCTACACAAACCTCGTCCGCTGCGTCTGGCTGTGGTGCGGCCGCTGTCTGACACTGGCCCCCCCCTTCAGTTACACGAGCATCTCGCCTGCGCAGCAGCTGGACCCCACAGGGCGAGTGTTCTAGATGCTTCTGTGGGCTTCCCACAGGCAGCGCTTCCCCTTCCGCTGGGCGGAGGGTGGCTCTGCAGTGTCCACGCTGTCTGCGGCCAGCACCAAAGCTCTACCGTCTGCGGTGGCCAGTGGAAAACCTGCAAAGCTGTTTCTTCCTCTTGAGTTTTCGTCAAAAACTCCTGAATGTTTGAGGGTCTTGCTCAGTTCTCTGGCCTGCAGGATGCTTTGAAAATGTTTATTTTTTATAAATGAAGGGAGATGTCTGTAGCAGTAATTGCCTCCAAATTAAAACCTCACTGGCTTCCACCGTGACTGATGTGCCGCACATGGGAGTACCGGCCGTCTGCAATGTGACTTTCATTGAGCAAACCGCACGCAGACCCAGTGCAGCCTCAAGAGTGGAGGCGGCGTGGGGGCCCGGAACAGAGCAGGGAATCCATCTTGTCCTCATTTCACCCCCCAGGTCTCTGGGGAAGGGCTGGGCCCACGCCCCATCCCCGCAGTGCAGCTCTGGCCCCGTGGGAGACTACCCTTGGTCAGTGACCACCTTGTGCCAGCACCCCGGTCTCAGCCAAGTCACACATTTCCCTGGACTGCAGGTGCCTCACAAGGATGGAGAGTGTCTCCTTTAAAGGCCAAGAGGAAAGGAACACTGACAATTCGTATGGCATGTAGGGGTGGAGCCATTTGTGCTGAGCGTTTTTTTTTTTTCATGTAGAGTACACTGGAGGCAAGATTAAAAAAAAATCAGTAAGTCAAAATATGTGAAAGTGATATATTTTAAAATTTTTGGATGAGTCACCCCAGCCTCTGCACTGGCCCTGGAGCTGACGAAGGTGGTGACGCTCGCTGTGGTGTTCCCCAGGTGGCGGGAGCCTGAGTGTGGATCCCAGAGCCCACGGCTGAATGAAGTGGGGCAGGGGTCCTGCTCTGGGCTGCATTTTTATTTTCATCTAATGATGTGTTACTGAAATCGGCTACTTTAATTTAAAAATTAATATAGTAAGAATTCAGATAGTAAAAAACAAGATACACAAAGGTGCCTTTTTGGGGAACTCATCTTTGTTCCAGAGAACCTACCTGAAGCCTAGTTCTGTGACTACACTAATGAGCAGAGACATGGCCCAGAAAGGGCACCTGTGTTCCTCTGAGGGCTCCCTGGAACTTCATTCACAGACAGAGCAGGAAGAGCTATTCCACAGGCCCAGCTGTTGCTCTGGCTGAGTGGGCTCTGTACCCTGAGCTCTGGACACAGCCATCCTCTGGGGAAAGGGCAGAAGTTTTTAATAGCCCCCCAAGAATGGGATTTTCAGCCCAAAAATACATGAGGGTCACTTTTCCCCCCAAGCCCTACATACATGCCCTGTTTATTTTTATGGGTCATCCTCTGAGCAAGGACAGCACTTTGGAAAAGGGGCAAAATGGTGGTGCTGCCCTAGCTCCTGGGCTGAATGACAAAGTCCATTTCATTCAGCTGAGCCTCTGAAAGCTTAGAGTGGATAAGGAGCTGCAAACGGTGCTGTGACCCAGCCCACAGCGGCTCTTGCCGCCCCAGTCCCAGTGTCCAGCTGGCTGAGAAGAAACTAGGGGCAGGGGGCATGGGGGGTGTCCTCTCCCCTACAGTGAGGAACTGGGCCTACTGTAGTGGCATAAAACTTTAGACCCCCCAACATTGACAGTGGAGCATGCTCAGTCCTGGAGCTACCATGTTCAGTCTGAGTGGCCCCCCAGGACCCTCAAAGCACACGTGGGTTAGCCAGGGTGGGCAGAGGGCCTGTCCAGGCACAAGGAAGAATGTATAGCATGTGCAGAAAGCAGCCCTGAGGGTTAGGGTAAGGGTAAGGATGTGTTTGATTAGGATTAGGGTGAGAGGGTGTTGGTGGTTCCTGGAATGTCGCAGACACAAATCACCCCCCTTAATGGCCTTATTGGCGTTTTCAGGCAAACCAGAGACCTCTGGGAGGCACCAGAGTTCTGCATCTTGGGGATGTGGCGCCAGAAGGCTCTTTGTGGTCACTCCGGTTTTGCTGGTGGGGAACCTGAGGCACAGAGAAGTGTGCTCTGCCCCACTCAGCGGGCCCAGTGGTTTGGGGCAGGTTACTGGCCAGAGCAAGCGCTCGCCAGTGCCCTCCAGAGTCAGCAAGTCTGCCAGGACTGCAGAGCACTTGAAGCAGCCTGACAAAGCAGCAGCTGTGTGAAAGCACATCTTGCAGGAATCACACAGCTTCGTCCCATAGTAAGTGTTTTCAGCGTGGATTTACTTGGTGTGTGTGAGACAGAGGCAGGCGTGGACCTGGAGAGTTCCTGGCCCCCTTACACAGATGGAGAAACCGAGACCACAGCCAGCAGAGGCCAGCAGAGGCCAGCAGAGCCCAGCGGGAGGACTATGCCCGTGTGGGAGGGGCAGGGTGGGTTAGGGGAAAAGGGGCAGGGAAGCCAGGGGCAGATGGGCACCTCATCACAGGACCTGAGGTGGCCTGTAGTCCTGCAGGGCTCTCGGCCACCCTTAGAACCAGTGCAGCAAGGTGGGAAGGTGGGGACGGAACAGCTCCCTTGGGTCACCGCATCACTGACCTGGCCCTTGGAGGGACAACTTTGAATGTTTTTGAAGGTCCTGGTGGTGAGTCAGCAAGCTCCGATGCACAGAAGGAAGCAGTTTCCTCCTGAAGGACCAGCCGTGCAGAGCGAGGAGTGCGGCACTGGAGGGCTCTCCTCTGTCAGGGCCAGCTTGCAGCAGCTGCCCACCCAGGGGCAGAGAGGCGCCGCAAGGGAGGACGTGGGGCTGGCTGACATGCAGGCCTCCAGCTTTGCTGCACATTTTCAGGGGAGAATGAGGAGGGATCCAGGAAGATCCCCGTGGAGCTGGTGCCCTGAAGGAGGGTCAGAGGTCAGGGCTGGAACCCAGCAAGGAACTGTGTCACACCTCCGTCCCTGTCACTTGGCAGGGACTTGGGCTTTGCCTACTGTAGGCGATGCTGCAGGAGCAGGAAGGGACTGCTCCAGGGACGATGACTGCACTGCTCCAGGGGGCTGCCCCTCTGCACTGCGCCCCACGGGCGCTGTGCCTCCCAACTGCCTGGGCTGAAGAGCAGGGGAGGGTCATGGTGAGGCCTGGGGACAAGTGAAGCCTTCTGGCATTTGCTACAGGCTTGGAATTTCTGGGATGTGCTGAATTTATTTTTAGCTAGCGGTGGAGTCAGAACTCCAAAGGGACGTAAGAGGAGAGTGAACAGGCTGGTGATGCTCGCAGGACTTAGACTCTTTACTCAAAGCACAGGATGGCTCTGGCCCCCGAGTCAGCCTGGGTCGGCCCTGGGC